TGGGTGTCATTGAGAGGGCCTGTGTGTGTACTGTGCCCCATGAACGTCTAGAAGGTAAAGTAAAGATCCCAGATGAGACAGGCAAGCTAGTTTGGAAATGGAAGACCTCGTTGGCTGGCGCCTACCCTCCTGGCCTCTGCCGCGTCGCAGCCCGAGGGCTCAAGGAAGCTCTCGGGCCGGGTGCCCTCCGCTGGGATGGCGAGCCGGCGCTCGACCCGCGCTGGGAGCGCGAGCTGGCAGCGGCAGCGGGCCTCCCGCAGCCGAAGCCGCTCGAGGTCCCCTCGTGTCCACGGAGGTTTACTACTGGCTGGGAGCACGCCGTCGGGCACCAGCTCTGTGGCGACAGCGCGGAGCAGCGTCGCGTCGCCCTCCGAGCGCTGGGCCGCGCGGCTCGCGCAGCAGGCGGCCCTGACCAACGGGGGCCGGCCGCCGCTGGGCCTTCTACTGCCAGACGGGGTCGACAGTCGTCCCCCGACTGGCAATCGGCGGCGGCGCGCCTCCACCAGACGGGCCGTGGCCAAGACGGTGAAGGTGTCCCCCGGCGAGGAGGGCTACTTGAAGCAGAGGTCGGTGGGCGGGGCCACGCTGCGGCTGTACCAGCGGGAGTGCGAGATGCTCGTGGCCTGGTGGAAGGCACAGCGTCTCTCGACCGAGAGCACAGAGGCTCACGACGAGGCCCTGGAGCGCTACCTCGACAAGCTCTTCTTCGACGGGGAGCCCGCGAGCCGGGCCAACAACGTCGTCCACGCCCTGATGTACCACATCGACGAGGTCTGGGCGAAGACGCCGCACTTCCCCCGGACGCGGCGGGCCCTGCGTGGCTTCCGCAAAGCCTCGCAGACCAGGTCGCGGGATGGGTGCCCGTGGGAGGCTGCGCTGGCCCTCGCCCACTGGATGGGCCGCCAGCGAACGCCGTTCATGGTGAACTCGGCGGCGCTCACCCTCGTGCTCTTCGACGGCTACCTGCGGGCCTCGGAGGGCCTCGGGCTGGGGCGGGACCAGCTCATCCCGCCACAGGGCGGCCACGGCGCCAGGAGGTGCTGGGCCGCCATGATCTGCCCAGAAGAGGAGGGGCGCCCTACCAAGAGCGGCGACTTCGACGACACTATCATCTTCGGCGACACCTCGGAGGCTCGAAGGCCGCTGCTCACCAAAGTCCTGCAGGTGCTGCATCGGACGACCGAGGCGGGAGCGCTGGTGTTCGACGGCCTCTCTCTGAGCTCGTACGAGCGGGTCTTCCGGCGCGGGACCCTAGAGCTCGGGCTCGAGAGCCTGCGCCTCACCCCGCACTGCCTTCGACACGGCGGTGCGTCGACAGATGGCCTGGACGACCTCCCGATCGTACAGATCCAGAAGAGAGGCCGCTGGAAAAGCCTGGCGAGCTGCAAGCGCTACGAGAAGAAGGGCCGCCTCCTGAAGCAGCTCGACCGCCTGAAGGCGGTGCCAGGCGTCCACAGTGAGACCTCCTTGCGGTGGCTCCTCACGCAGTTCCCTCAGATCCTTCAGAGTCAACGCGTGATGAACTAAGGGCCCGACCCACCCACCCTGAAGGCCTATAATATGGGAGCTATGGGAGTGTGGTGGTGCCGGCACCGACGTATTGCTCGAATTGCATGTTGTGCAACCCTCTTGTGTTTCGGAGGCTCGTTGAGCCCGGCCAGGAAAATGCTAGCATTGTCGCTCGCCACTCTCTCATCTATGTCTTTTTCCTGGCGCTCCGCGCTTCACCGCCGCTTAGCATCCTGAACATATTTGTCTTTGACTGTTTTGTTCCGTGGCGGCCAGGCGGTCTCAGGCCAAAGGTCCGAGGGGGACCTTTGGGCGTCTCCATAGTCGCTCTGGTCCCCCGCCCTCCCACCCTGTACTATACTCTGGAGTGTGGTGGTGCCGGCACCGACGTATTGCTCGAATTGCATGTTGTGCAACCCTCTTGTGTTTCGGAGGCTCGTTGAGCCCGGCCAGGAAAATGCTAGCATTGTCGCTCGCCACTCTCTCATCTATGTCTTTTTCCTGGCGCTCCGCGCTTCACCGCCGCTTAGCATCCTGAACATGCATGTACATGTATGTATGTTTGTCTGTATGTATGCATGCTTATATATATATATATATATATATATATATATATATATTCATACATGTACGTATGTGTATATGTATGCATGTTTGCTTGTTTGTATGCATGTATGTATGTATGTATGTATATATATATATATCTGTATATATTTGAAATGAATACATGTATGTATTTACGCATACATGCATGTATATATGTATGTATGCATGTATGTATGCATGCATGTATGCATGTATGTATGCATGTATGTCTGTACACTTGTACTTATGTGCGTGTGTATGTTTGTACTTAGGAATGGTGAACTGATGTATTTATGCATGCATGCATGCATGTATGCATGCACGTGTATACGTATGCATGTATGTATGTATGTATGAATGTATGTATGTGTGTATGTATGTCTGTATGTATGTATGTATGTACGTAGTATGTATGTATGTAATGTATGTATGTAGTGTATGTATGTAGGTATGCATGCATGTATGTATGTATGTATGTATGTATGTACGTACGTACGTACGTACGTATGTATGTATGTATGTATGTATGTATGTATGTATGTATGTATGTATGCGTGTGTAGATGTATGTATGTATGTATGTATGGATGGATGGACGGATGCATGGCTATATATATATATATATATATATATATATATATATATATATATATATATACACACATATACAATATATATATATATATATATATATCTATACACATGTATATCGAGATATTGTGCCAGGACATCTGCATCCTGCTGCTGCGCATCTGGTTTCTTCTTGGACCGTCTTGGAGCCGTCTTGGAGGCCTCTGGGGCCGTCATCGGCTGTCGGAAGCCCGAAAAAGCGAGAACGCACAAATCGCGCAAACACCTAAAGAAAATACATGATTTTCGCTTGGCCTCTTGGAGCCTTCTTGGGCCGTCTCTAGGGCTTTGGGACAGCTTTGAGGACATCTTGGGCAGTATTGGAGCACTCCTGGTCTGACTTGGGCCATCTTGGAGCCATCTTCACCTTTTCGGGCCTTCTTGGGCCATCCTGGAGCCATCTTGGAGCCATTCTGGGCCTTCTTGGAGGCCATCTTGGATCGTCCCGGAGGCCATCTCGGCCTTTTTGGAGGCATCTTGCATCTTGGCCGGAAAAGCCAATGGGAGGTTCATCTTCCTGTGAGCCAGCGTGGTGTGCCAGAGGCCATTAGAAATCTTTTGGAAGGGTTCAAGCGGTTCAGATTCGGCACGCTCAGCACACCTGTGGGAAGCAACAGGGGGCGATTATTTTCGGCCCAAACGCCAGCGTCAGTGGGTCGTGGATACGAAGCCTTTTGGCGTCCTCTAGGGGGCCTTTTCGTGGCCTTTTCGGTGCCTCTGTGGGGCCTCTTGGGGAGCTTGCGTTATAGCGTTATGGTTCCAAGTCTGGGTGCGTGCGCCTGGTCTCTTGACGCCAGGCGCTGGTCTCCCCCTCGCAGGCCCGCCTTGCTATCGTCTTGAGGTGTCCGCGTGGCGCATCTGTCGCAACGATGAAGTGCACGAGGGGTGAGTTCCTTCTGTGGGCGCTGCAACAGCGACCACCTCCAAACCAGATGCTGGCACATTGTCTCCGCATTGTGTATAGTATCGCAACCATGCCCACCTGCTTCCCAGGCACAGTCCAAATTTATAACTACAATGTTCATTGTACCATTTACTCTGGACACGGGCGCCGCCTTCAAGAGTTGTTCCGTGACATGCGCACCTTGCCGTTGCAGAGCTATGACCGTATATATTTTCGCAGATCTTTTGGATCACTTCAGGCATACAACTTTTCCTTGGCTTATTGTCGCGCTGTGAAAAAATCTCGGGAGCCTACTTGGGGCCTCGTGGGGTCTCTGGGGGCCGTTTGGGGCCTGCTGGCTGTCTCGGGGACCATCTTGCGATAGAGGGCGTCTTGGGAGCCTCTTGGGGGCCTCTTGGGAGCCTCTTGGGGGCCTCTTGGGGCTTCCTGGGGGCCTTTTGGGGGCCTCTTGAGGCCTCTTGGCGGCCTCTTGGGGGCCTCTTGGGGCCTCCTGGGTGCCTCTGAGGGCCGAGGGCTCGAAATTTCCGTTCGGGTCCCTCTCGGGGCCCCCTTTTGGAGCTGTCTTGATGGCCTCTTGGGCCGCCTTGGGCGCCTGTTGGGCCGTTTTCGGGCCCTCTTGGCTGGTTTGGGGCCCTGTTGGAGTGGAGGCCTCTTGGGCCGTCTTGAATGATCTTGGCGGCCTTTTCGGCTGTCATGGAGCGTCGGGAAGCCGCAGATGCGAGAATGCCAAATTTTACATAAAACCGAACGAGCATCAATGATCTTGGCCCTCTTGGGAGGCCTCTTGGAGGCCTCTTGGGTGTCTTGGGGGCATCTTGGGCCGTCTGAAGGCCATCGTGGGCGTCTCGAGCGATCTTTCGGCGACTCGGGGCCCTCTTGGACCATCTTGGGGGCCTCTTGGGGCCCTCTAGGCTCGTCTTGGGGCTCTCTTGGGCCCGAAAAAGTCACGCGACAAGACAACAAAGCTCCCGGCCGTTATGGTAATTTTAGGTCCGGACCTTTTTAAATACCCTTCAGGATTGAGGACTGAGGCTTAAGGGGTTCGGAGGACCAGAGGAAACTCCAACTCGTGCCTCAGGGGCACGGTAGCGGATTATAGGCAGAAGATTCGACGGGATCTGATTACATTCTCTCTCTCTCTCTTTCTCTCGTGTCTCGTTGTACGGTGGCGAATTGTGATGGCGCTGTCTTGTGCATGCAATCAACGATCGCCGTCCGCCTGCCACGAGTTCCAAGTTTCCTCAGCCCACGCGCGTTTTCTCCATTCTGCCACCAGCAGTGGCCATGATGTGCATCTTCGCGCGGCTTGATGTGTAGGCTTTCTCGGCGGTTCTTGCTCCCATCTCTTTATCTGCTTCGCGTGATTCTCGCAGAACGTCACGAAGCTCGACCCCAAGGGCAAAGCTGCTCGGTTGCTTGGAATGCTGCACTTCTTGGAACTTTGCCAGGATGCACTGGAGGGGAGAAAGGAGCATGATGATAAACGAGGTGGGGGAAATCGATGCCCAGCAACCACTCGCTTTCGTTATGCCAGTGCTCAGTCTACCGCTGCCAGACAGATCTCATGCGGATTGCCGACAGGCCCATGACTGTATCCTCGCTCCATTGCTTCGGTCCTCGCGCAGGAGGGCGAGGAACCAGGATACAAGTGGTCGGGGAGTCTTAGATCTCGCGCGTTTGATCTGGAGCGGCCATGTCTTGTACAATGGACGCCCTCCTGTCTTCCTGTCTCCAGGCTACCCGTGGGCTGCAGCGTGTGCGTCAGCATTTGGGCAAGGCATGCGCGAATGCCCCTGCCTCGTGCAACGAATTGTGGTGTAGGCGCACGTGCCCGTATCTTGAGGGCGAGAAGCGAGAAGGGACGCCAGAGCGTGATGGGACGTGGTAGTGAGGATGCCGACGCGGACATCGACATGTGCATCTACATGGACTCGACTACTTTCGTGTATCGCGAGAACCAAACTGGAATTGTCAGGGAGGGAGCGACAACATAATTCGCAGAGATAGGGAGTGCGGAGAGTTTGAATCGGCGGCGAGCGAGGGGGGGAAATGAGAATGAGGAGGCCTTCTCAGAAGGCGGCGGGACTTCTTGGAATCGCTCCGGCCTTTTGAGAAGTGTTCGGTGTCTTCGGGGAAGGCTCGGAACACGTTTCAGAAGGCCTGGGAACTTCCGAGCCTTCTGAGAAGGCACGCCTCTTCTCACTTCCCCCCCAGGCTCGCCGCCGACTGAAGGTAGCACAGTCCAGCTGCGCCGCGGGGATCGCAGCGCTCGAGAGAGGCGCCAGCCTTCGCAGGGTCGCGCTGCGCGATCCCTCAGACCGAGTGAGCCCGCCTCGTCCTCCTGCTCCTGCTCCTGCTCCTGCTCGTCCTCCCTCGGGTCTAATTCAGGGCTCACTTCGACTTCTCCGATTCGATTCGATTCGGCTTCGATGGGTTTCGATTCCGATTCCGATTCGATTCGATTTCGGATTCCGTTTTGGGCTCCGATTTCTCAATCGAGGCCTATTAGCCTGCCGATTTCCGCCGACTTGACGTCTCCCGATTCGGCTGCCGATTTCCGCCGATCCGATTCATGTCGATCGCCGATCCGACTTATCGATTCGATTTTGGGCTCTCCTGGTCTAGTTCCGTATACATCCGTGGAGGCGTTCTGTGTTCTTTTGCTGCTACTGCAGCTCCTTCTTGGTCGCCTCTGGCTGTCTCAACCATAGGAGGAGGAAGAGGAGGCGGTAGGATTTCTCAAGAGGAGGAGGGGAAGGAGGGAGGAGGGGGGAGGGAGGAATTATTGAGGATGGGGAAGGAGGAGAGGAAGAGGGATGAGGGGTTAGGAATCGGAGCTGTAGCACCCGCACTCGGTAAGAGTGGGAATTATGTGAACCAGGTTGGACGAGTCAGCGGGCCGCTCCCGCTCCCACCCTGCCTCCCATGATATGAGAATCACGGCTGGGGCAACTTGATGTTGTGATTGGCGCGCGTTCCCACCTAGCGAATGGAAGGCGCCCTCGCGCTGTCCCGCTTCCGACCGACGACTTGGCGAGGGGGAAAGCACGGGCCGCGCACGGGTGGGAGCGCAACTCTCAGTTTTTCTTTTGCGGGGCGATGTGGCGAGAGCACCTCGAGCATCTCTCAGCCCTCTTGCGCGCGGCCAGATTTCCGAAGGCAGCGGCGAAAACACAGCACATGTCGCGCCGAAGCAGCACTTCCACATTCACTCGAGAGCGACATTTCGCCTGCTCGCGCGCGGTGCCTCTGCTGCTTTCCGACGTATTCGCCGCGCCGACGCGGGTGCGCCATTGTCCCGCGAGATCTGCGCAGGGCTTGGGCGAGGGCGAAATTTCTCCCGCTCGAGCGCAGCCTCGCTTCCAACGACTGGGCGAGCGAAAACTATGCGCCGCGCTCAAGAGGGAGCGCCACTTTGAGGCGACATTTACGCAGCCCTGGCTCGAGATCTACCTTTCGCCTGCGCGACCCCGTTTGTAACGAATTGGCCAGCGAGAGATGTGCGCCGCGCCCAGGCGAGAGCTCGATCCTCAGGAGAATGAGCGCGGCGCCGGGAACAATAGCGATATTTCACCCTTTGGCGTGCGATGTGCGCCCCGTCCTATTCCCGCCGCGAATTTCACAACGTCGATGGCAATACGTCCATGTTGGGAGGGCATTCTTGAGGCTCTGTATTGCTATATGACGGGCTGCATGGGCCCTCCATGTTGGGGCGGCTGATTGGATATGTAGCTAGGTGGCAGAGTGGGCGTTCACATTCTGATAGGTACTAAGGGTAACAATATGAGGACGAGGGGCTTGTGTTGGAGTAGGAGTAATTCGGATGAGGACGTGGAAACGAAGCAGGACCATTTCCGCCTTCCCCCCCGTTGCCCACCCGAGGTCGAGCTGGCGTCGCAACTATTCCGCAAGGAGCCGAACGCGGTGGTGCTACAGCCGCCAGACTTGTGCACCTACACGCGGACCTCCGAGAGAGGCGCCGGGTCGGTTCAAGATGACGGTGACAGTGACGATGGCAACGATGAGGAGGAGGAGGAGGAGGAGGAGGAGGAGGAGGAGGAGGAGGAGGAGGAGGAGGAGGAGGGAGGAGGGGAGGAGGAGGAGGAGGAGGAGGAGGAGGAGGAGGAGGAGGAGGGGGAGGGAGGAGGGAGGAAGAGGAAGAGGAAGAGGAGGAGGAGGAGGAGGGAAAAGGGGAGGAGGCGATGGGCTGGAGCTCCCGAGCGATGAAGCGCGTGCGAATCCGAACGAACGGAGCCGCGTCAGCGAAGAGACATGGCGTTGGTGATGACAAGGCATCTGGATTTGACCCCGCTGGGAAGAGCCGCTCGGGAGCGCGAGCACGTCGCATCGCTTACACAATGGAGCGCCCATCGTTGCGTCCTGTCGTTTGGACAAGTGATACGCTTGGATTCTTGTAAGGGACGTGCAAGTGAGATGGTGGGCAGTTGGGCTGGGTGACGCACCGTCGTGAGCACTGGCCTGCTGGCGTCCGCGCGCGAGGAGTGGTCGCTTCGCGATCAATCGCATCCCGCTGCTGCAGTTCCTCCTCCGTCCTCTTTCTTACCTCTTTGGATCTCCAGAATATCCTAGAGCCGCCCACCCCCCATAGAACTCCCAGAGGCCACCTGAACCACCCTGTAGCCTCCTCCCTTCCTCCTTCCGCGCATCTTCTCTTATCAACAGGTTTCTGGTGTGCGCTGATAGTCAGACGGCCCGCGAAGGTGCCGCGGGCGGAAATTCAGCAACTCGTTGCCTGAGTCTGGAAAATCCACCACGTGCCTGAAGACTTCGCCCTGGAACGAGGCAGCGACCTCAAAGCAATATGGGGGAGTGGTGCGTTTCTTGGGAGACATCGAGTGAATCCCGAGTTCAGGCGCAGAGGAAGTGATAGGGGAGAGGTGGGATTCTGATGAAGGTAGTAGCGTGAGAGGGCTACCCTGGCAGCCCGGCCCAAACGCGCTAGGAATGAAGGTTCTCGCCAGAGCAATCCTACCGATGGCGGTGTCCAGGCAAGGTTTAGCTGCAGTCGGGGGCGGCAAAAAGGGGGGTGACGACTGGGGGGGGTGGATATCATGGCGTGGGCCATGATATTTCCCCAGATTTCATGGCGCCTCTTCTTATTTCATTACCTCCCTGGCCCCCCGCTGGGCCGCGCACATGCCACTGGTCATGATTTGCACCCCCCCTCTTGGACACCCCCCTCTTGGCCGCTCCCGATGCAGATGCCCGGCTGGTAGTAGCTCGACGGGTCGCGGTGGAGAGGCCGAAGTGCATGGCCATGGGGCCCGTTCCGGAATGTTCTGGGCGCGACGCAATAGACAGATGAGGCGCCGCCCAGAAATCTCACAGCGCGGAATTCCGTGAACGTGTTACTCAGCGGTTTCAGGTCAAGGTGACCCGAAGATCCAACAAATATTAGCAGCGTCGCAGATGGGGATGGAGACGGATGGTTCCCCGCGGGGCAAGAATCGGGAGGATCCGTGCAGAGACAGCTGGGCCTTTGAGGGCGGGTTAGCCATTCGACGACACCGTGAACCAATCACCATGATGCATGTGCCTGGAGACATAGGGGCTAGAGCCCCTCAGCCTTTGAGAAATATGAGACGAGCGCGTCGACGATAGGAAAGACGAAGGTGAAAGGGAGTTGCGAGGACCATGGGCGGGATGGATTTGAGTTTCGCGTTATCTCTGGTGGCGATGGCGACAAGAGCCAGGCCAGCGTTATTTCACCGAGATCAAACAAGAGGGCAGAGGATCCAGGAAACGACGAGAGGGAGATAGAGATAAGGAGGGCGAGGGCAAGGAGAAACAGCAATCAGACGTAGGAGCTGGCGGAGGCAAGTGGCCTGGCGACGAAACGTGGAAGCAGAAAAACCCGAGCAGGAGAGTGAGTGACAGGATAGTGTGAACAGCGATGATGTACGCGCCGGGTCGAACATCATGGGGTTCGACGCGGATGTGGTGGATTGGTTGCTCGGCGCTACCTTGGGCGCCATTGAGCAGGTAACCTGTGCATGAAATTCGGAGAGCAGTGGGGTTAAGCGGCAAGGGTCAGCGCGACGTGCAGGCGCGCGTTTCTGTGGCTTGCTCGCCAGTCGGAGGTACTGGTAGGGCTGAAAAATGGGACTCTTACAGGGGTTTGCCATGGACCTAACTACTTGTGATGAATATGGATACCCATGGGCCTTGCACTGTGAGGTGACGCGAGCAAAAGCGAAGGACCTAATCAAGAGCAAAGCAGCCTTGCTGTTTAACGCTCGAATAAGAATAATAATACTAATAGTAAGAAGAATAATAACAATACCAATAATGCTAAGAAGAGGAGGAGGACGATGAGGAGGAGGATCATGCATGAGGCGTAGGAGGTGAATGGGGGAGGATGGGGGGGATTAGGAGGATGGGGAACACGGAGCAAGAGGGCGAGGATGATGATGAGGAGGAGGAAGAGGAGGAGGTGGAACAACATCATGGTATGGCTAGGTTCATTGGTGCACGCGTACAGCGCCTGTCAGGGCACTCTTGCTCTTTCTCTGCGTTCTGCTTCGCCTTTCTTCATTCTCGGCCGAAGTGGTGCCAAGTGTCGCAGGGGTCGCGTCCTGCGCGCCCCATGCGACCCCGCGATGCTGACTGTGCGCGCCCTTTGTTATTGTAGTGGCCTCCGGACAGTGCCGCCGATCCGGGGTGCTACCGATTCTACTTGCAACGGATGACTTTTTTATGTTTGCAAGTAGACCACTCGCTCGAGACATCTTCATAAGATAGAGATGTTGAACTCGCTTGGGCAACCTGCGGATATTCGAAAGTGACGATCTCGCGTGAACAGCCAAACTCATGGGATGTTGACGTAGCTGATGTATGACACCTTTTGGGGGCGCTCCTGGGCTTCTCGGGGGGCTTTATGGAGGCATCCTGGAAGCTTCTTGGGGGCGCGCTGGAGGAAGTTTTTGAATATCTTGGGGGCCTTCTGGGGGCCTCCTTGGGGCTTCTTGGGCCGTCTCGGGCCCTTCTTGGACCGTCTTGGAGCCCTCTTCGGGCGTGAATGGCGTCGGCCATGGCGTCGGCCCTCCCCCCCGTCTCCTCTCCCGAGCCTGAATGGCGTCGGCCATGGCGTCGCGTCCCCCCCCTCCCCCCCCCCCCGACAGAGTGAAGCTTGAGCGAGCCCCCCCCCCCCTCCCTTCTCCCGGGCCTGAACGGCGTCAGCCATGGCGTCAGCCCTCTCGCCCTGCCCCCCGACTCTCCCCTTCCGGGCCTGAATGGCGTCAGCCATGGCGCTCCCCCCACGCCCCCCCTCCCTCCCGGGCCTGAATGGCGTCAGCAATGGTGTCAGCCCCTCCCCCCTCCGACAGAGCGAAGCTTGAGCGAGCTCCCCGCCCCCCTCCCCCTTCACGGGCCTGGATATCCCCTCAAGCAGCACTGGTAAACTAAGACCTCTTGAGCCTAGTAGGCAGGGGCTCAAGAGGGGAGGAAGAGGGACGCACACGGCTCAGATGATGATGACGACCTTTTTGCCAAAGGGGCCGTGCCGCTCCTCTGCGCTGGCGCCCGGCGCTCCACGCGCCGGCGCCGTCTTCGGCCACGCGCAGCGGGCCACGCCGCGCCGCCGAGGCACTGTAGTGCCAGGCGGCGCTGTAAAAGTCCAGAAAAAGGGCGGGTAGGGAGCCCTGCGGGGCTCCCAGGGTGGGCCAGCTTGGCCTTGGAAAGGCTTGAGCCGCGGAGCGGCGGTGAAGAGAGAGGGAGAGAGAAAGGGCAAGCAAGAGGCAAGGGCAGGAGCAAGGGAACCGCAAGTGGAAGCCCGCGCCAGTTCTGGAGTCGGGGAGATCCATCAGTTTTACCAAACATCCTAGATATCCCCTCAAGCAGCACTGGTAAACTAAAACCTCTTGAGCCTAGTAGGCAGGGGCTCAAGAGGGGAGGAAGAGGGACGCACACGGCTCAGATGATGATGACGACCCTTTTGCCAAAGGGGCCGTGCCGCTCCTCTGCGCTGGCGCCCGGCGCTCCACGCGCCGGCGCCGTCTTCGGCCACGCGCAGCGGGCCACGCCGCGCCGCCGAGGCACTGTAGTGCCAGGCGGCGCTGTAAAAGTCCAGAAAAAGGGGCGGGTAGGGAGCCCTGCGGGGCTCCCAGGGTGGGCCAGCTTGGCCTTGGAAAGGCTTGAGCCGCGGAGCGGCGGTGAAGAGAGAGGGAGAGAGAAAGGGCAAGCAAGAGGCAAGGGCAGGAGCAAGGGAACCGCAAGTGGAAGCCCGCGCCAGTTCTGGAGTCGGGGAGATCCATCAGTTTTACCAAACATCCTAGATATCCCCTCAAGCAGCACTGGTAAACTAAAACCTCTTGAGCCTAGTAGGCAGGGGCTCAAGAGGGGAGGAAGAGGGACGCACACGGCTCAGATGATGATGACGACCCTTTTGCCAAAGGGGCCGTGCCGCTCCTCTGCGCTGGCGCCCGGCGCTCCACGCGCCGGCGCCGTCTTCGGCCACGCGCAGCGGGCCACGCCGCCTCCTTCCCCCTGCGAGCGCGCCACCACGCCGAACTGGCTGTAGTGGGACGCGTAGCCGCCGACCTTGTCGGCGTAGAACAGTCCTGGCATCCGCGGCAGGCCGCCGCGTCTGCCCAGCAAGGTGGGTCCGCAGGCGCAGGGCGGCAGGCCGCCGGCGCCCGCGGTGGTTCTTCGTGCGCCCTAGGCAGCAGCCCTGGCTGGGCTGGCTGCCGGCGCCCCCGTAGCCGCCACCGCCGTCCCCCATGACGGCACTGCCGGTTGCCGGGCCGGCGCGGCGCTCTTGCCCTCAGGCGCCAGCTGCCGCCGCGCCGCGCCCAGCTGCTCGCAAGCGCAAAGTTGAGCGCGGGCGCCAGGCTGAGCTCAGCCGGCGCCGCGCTTCCGCTCGCACGGCGTATGCCGGCGGCGGTGGTTCCCACGCGCCCCGCGCGGCAGCCCTGGCTGGGCTAGCCGCCGGCGCTCCTCGAAGCCGCCACTGCTGCC